GTGACGCCAGCGCAGCAGCGGCTTCCCACCACTCTTGAAGCTTGATGGCTGCTGCTGCGAAAGAGCTTCAGCTCTCGAGCGGGGGGCGCGCAGCACAAGAACGTTGATAGTAACCCCTGGACTTTGATAGCCACGATGAACCTGTTCGGCTCTTCGCGCAATACCCTACACATTTCATGTGTAATGTTGTGTCCCTGCATGTACTGCGTAGTCGCATGTATCCATAGCGCGCAACCGTCCGCCCCCCTCTGGTGTAGCAGTAGAGTGGAAAGCTATGTACTTGCCGATGTCTTGCGTTTTGTGAGTTCGAAGCCTGGCTTCCTGCATGCCTGTGAGAAGGCAATCCTGGCCATGGAAGTGCCCTGCCAGCTGCGTGATCCCACCTGGGCCAAGTCCGTCTTGATCCTTGACTGAATCGTCGTACCAGCCCGGGTGAAGCGTGAGTACGTTAGCCGTGGCGACCCAAAGCTTGGGACGAGTGCCCTACTCGGGCCCTCGGAGGGTAACCCTTTTGGGGGGGGGGGGGGCCTCTTGAAGCTGCAGCCTGGGAGACGAACTTGGGTCGAGAGCTATGCCTTCCACCGGTGGGCACTGCTGGCGTTGTTCACATGGTAGAAAATCAAGCCATAGCCACGGGGGCGCTGCCTGGAGCGAGCTGCGCACGCGCATGGTCGGAGAGGGGGAAGAGGAGCTGGGGCATGGCCGCAAGGCGCGCAAGCGTATCTGCAATTTCGTTCCAAGGGTCGTTCACATGTCCCTGTATGTGTTTCCAATGGAACGGGCTTGACCTCCAGCGAACACCAGCTCGACTCTCTGGCCCCCAGCCGGCACCCACGCCAACGCTTACACCAGCGCCGACAGCAGCACCGACGCCCGCACCAACGCCGGCGCCCACGCCGGCTCCAACACCAGCACCTACAGCAGCCCCTACGCCAGCACCGACGCCAGCGCCTACGCCTACACCGACGCTGACACTCACACCAGCACCGCATCAGCACCGCACCAGCACCAACGCCGACACCCACGCCAGACACATGAATTCCAGGCAGCTTGTTACACGTTTACGACTGGGCATTCCATCGGCCACGCGGCTGGGACACGATAGTTTGCACCACACATGAGGGCTCGCTTGGCCGCCCTGCTGGTGGGGCGGAAATTCGGGCAGTCATTTGACAGTCACCACAATACGGCGGACAAATTTTGCCCCCCCCCCCCAGACAGGAGGGCGCCAGGCATAGCACCACACGTGGACCCAACAAATCCTCCCCCCCCCAGACAGCGCCACGCGCAGCAGCACCAACACCCCCACGCCGACGTCAGCCCATACGCCAGCATCAACGCCGGCGTCTACACCGACACCAACACCGGCACCCACACCAGCCTCGACGCCAGCACCGACGCCAGCACCCAAGCCGATTTTGGAACGCCGTTCCAAAAAAAAATCCCTCGCCGCTAGCACCGACGACAGCCCCTACGCCAGCACCACCGCCGGCACCTACGCCGACACAGACAGACGCAGGCGCCCACACCAGCACCGCATCAGCACCGACGCCAGCACCGACACCATCGAAGAACCTCCGAGCACCCCCTTCGCCGTACGATAGCGGATGGGCCAGCACGCTCCGACGTCCAGCTCCGACTCCCCAGCTCCGACGTCCAGCTCCGACGCCAGCACCACGGCCAGCGCAGACGCCAGCACCGACACCAGCACCCACGCTTGTGCCTATGCCTTCACCGACGCCAACGACTACCAGCACCGACGCCAGCACCAACGCCGACGCCTAACCCGACACCAATACCAGCGCCTATACCAGCACCGACGCCGGCACCGACGCTAGCGCCAACGTGGGCGCCTACGCCAGCGCCGACGCCAACACCGACGCCTGCATCCACGCCTGCGCTTTTGCCGGCAATAACGCCAGCGCCTACACCGGCGCGGACGCCAGCACCGACGCCAGCACCAACGCCTGCGCCTACGTTGGCACCAGTGCCGTCGCCTGCACCAGCACCGACGCTTGCTCAAACGCCAGCGCCTACGCCTGACCCGACTCCAACACCGACGTCAGCATCACCGCCTACGTCTACTTCGACGCCAACGCCAGCGCCGACGTCAACACTGACGCCAGCAGCACGAACGCCGGCGCATGTGGCAACAACGAACGCTGATGCCAGCACTAACACTAATGCTGGCTGTCCGAACCAGCCCCAAGGACCTACGACGCCTGCACAAACGCCAGCGCCTACACCAGCGCCGACGTCAGCACCGACTCCAGTACCAACGCCGGCCATCTGACGACAACGCACCAGAGGATTCATTAATCAAGCATGGCCGCGAGGACAAGGTTGACCAAAACAAGGGCGACAGACTGATTCCACTGCCCCTCCCAATGCCCACTTCCCTCTGTCTTCCCACCGCCACCTCCACTGCCTCACCGGCGCCAGCACCAACGTCGGGACCTTCGCCAGCGCTGACGCCAGCACTGACGGCAGCATCAACGCCTGCGCCTACGCCAGCACCAACGCCAGCTCCTTCACCAGCGCCGACGTCAGCCCTTACGCCAGCACCACCGAATGCGCTAACAACACCAGGGCGCCAGTGAGCTGACCAGCTGACCAGCACGCGCCAGCATCAGCACCAACGCTGGCGCTTTCGCCAGGGCCGACGCAAGCACCGACGCCAGCATCAAGGCCTGCGCCCTCGCAGGCATCAACGCCGGTGCATACAACAGCGCCGACGTCAGCCCCTACGCCAACACCAATGCCCCCGCCTACGCCGACACCGACGCTGGCGCACCGGTGAGCTGACCAATTCACTGGTGCACACCAGCGCCCGCACCAACGCCGGCACCTCGCCAGCGCCGACGCCAGCACCGTCGCCAGCTTCAACGCCCTCGCCTACGCCGGCACCAACGTCAGCGCCTCCGTCGGCGCAACGATGAGCTGAGGGGACGATGGGGACGAGCAGATGTCCAGCTCGACGGAGTTGAGCACTCCCACAGCGTCCATCACGACGGAGCTGAACACCTTCTTCGACGTGGCTGTCCTATCTTCGTGGAATCTCTGATCAAAATCTGACGTAGCGATCCCACTGTCCTGTCATAGAGGCCAGGCAGGCGGTGAGCTCTCTGAGCAGCCGGAGCTCTCCGCTTCCCCTGGTCCTCTTCTCCCTCCCCCTTGTTTTTTAAATCGGCTGCCACCCCAAGGGTGCGTCCACTCTGCCGCGCCCCGCCCCTACGTGGTACGACTCGGGCCGGCCTTGCTGGGGTCACCCAGGCTGATATCTGATTGCACCGCTGGCGAATTTGGTTTCCTCCCTCCTCCCTTCTCCGTCCTCCTCCCCTCCTTCCTCCCCCCCCCTTTGTATTGCTCGTGATCGCGAGGGTTTCTGCGCGGGTGCCGTCTACCTGGGTCGGCCTACGCACGCGCGAGTTTCTGTTAGGGCGTGTTCTCCCTCCTCCTCCTTGTCCTCCTCCTCCTCGTCCGCGCTCCCTCTTCCTCCTCCTCCTCCTGGGCATCTGTGTGCGAATATCAGGATGTGTTCCCATGCGACGTTTAACCTTGTCGCGCCAGTCCTGGACACATGCCCGGGCAATAATTGTCGCGGGTAGCGCTTGCCTGTCCTGGCCGCGTGACCGATGCAGTCTTGCGGTGTCTCTTGCGCGCTGACACTTCGGGGGATAGATAGCACCGGTATTGTTGAGGTTGAAGTGGGCGCAAGGTGCTTCAACAGCTCTTGACGCCGGTTTGAGCGCAAAGTGCTGTAACAGTTTTAGCGCCGGTTGTGTCGCAACTGCTTTGGCTGGAGTCATCGCGCTTTGCCAGAAGGAAAAATCGACGGCATAGTATTTGAGCCATGGCTTGAGGGTCCTCTTAAGAGGTTCCTTTCCATGTGAGAGCACTTAGCGTGGCCCCCATAGACGAGTTGCGTGCTGTCGGCATGTGTGCGCACAGGAGATCGGTGCCCGTCGGAGAAGGTAGGAAAGAGACGAACAAGCCAGGCTGCTGCCCAGATGGCGGCCTCAAACTCTGCAGCAGCTGAGAAGAGCTGGCGGGCACGCATCGCTGGCTGCCTCCAGTCGGCGACCTCAGAATCCAACAAGCCAGCAATTTCCCTGACACGAGGCAATGACTGTGAGAGGGCCTGCGTGTGGGGCGGCGCTGTGGTATTCCGCCGCATGTGCTGAGCACGCACTGCCTGCTGGTTTGGGCGCGGACTCCCACCACTGCCATGTCGGCTGTCGCCCCTTGGGTTGCCTGTACTTCCAAGGACGTCCATATTCGATCTCATCCACTGGCGTCGGCCGGGTACGAGCTTGGCTGGACACTGGCGAACAGAAGCGGCAGGTTCGGCTGGTGAAGATGTTGGCGCGATGGCACTTGGAACACTTCAGCAACGAGGCTGCCGATCTGACGAAGCCCCGCTGGCACGAGACCTCGCAATTGAGCTGTAGTGATGATGCAAGATACTTCTGGCGCTGACAACGCTGATCAAAGTACGTGCGCACGCACTTTCCTATGCCACGCCGGTTCGCTATGACGAGAAGGCGTGGTGACGGACGCCGGGAGATGGCACGGCCGTCAAAATGCGGGGAGGGTGCGGGTCGGCGCGTCTGGTCGCGTTCCCGAAAGGCTTCGCAACCACCTGGCGGTTGCACCCAAAAGCCTGGACCAGGACGGCGACTGAGGAGGGAGGAGGAGGCGGAGGAGGAGGCGGAGGAGGAGGGGGGGAAAGAGGAGGAGGGAGAGGAGGGGGGAGGAAGAGGAGAGGAGGAGGAGGAGGAGGAGGAGAGGAGGAGGAGAGGAGGAGGAGGAGGAGGAGGAGGAGGGAGGAGGAGGAGGAGAGGACAGCAGGAGGAGAAGGAAAAGGAGGAGGAGGAGAAGAGGAGCTTGGGGGAGGAGGAGGCGGAGGAGGGAGGAGGAGGAGGAGGAGGAGGAGGAGGAGGAGGAGGAGGAGGAGGAGGAAGGGGAGGAGAAGGAGGAGGCCCAGCCCATGTGCCCAGGAGTTCCGACGGGAGGTCCTCGGATCCACGCACCCTGAGGACGCGGAGGCCTCGTCGTTGCGAGGCCCCCTTCTTTCTCCTCCTCCTCCTCCTCCTCCTCCTCCTCCTCCTCTTCTTCTCCGTCGTCAACGACGGCGGCATTGCTGTCCTCGTTCTCGTATTCGTCCCCCTCCTCGTCGTCGTCGTCGTCACCCTCGTCGCCGTCCTCGTCCTCGTCGTTGTCGTCGTTGTTTTCGTCCTCGCCCTCGTCCTCGTCCTCGTCGTTAATGTCCTCGTTCTCGTTTTCGTCCCGGTCCCTGCCCTTTTCATCCTCGCCGCCCCTCCACGACAAATAGGAGGGGGGGAGGGGGGAGGAGGCAGCAGGAGGGACGGGGGGGGAGGGGGAGGAGGAGGGGAGGAGGAGGAAGGAGGGCGGAGGGAGGAGGGAGGAGGGAGGAAGGAGGAGGGAGGAGGGAGGAGGGAGGAAGGAGGAGGATGAGGAGGAAGAAGAGGACGAGGAATCCTGCTGAATCCTGCAGAGTGTCGCTACGCGGTCTTGTTACACCGCCTACACCCGAGACGGGAGTGCGTGCCAACATAAACTTCAACGTGCAAATGCCTCCGCACAGGTCCGGCGTCCCTGGAAGGCAGCAGCAGCGGCAAATCAATTGGTCCTGGCTCGTCATGGGGAAAACGGGTCCTGAAGGAAACAGTTCCCGAGGTTTTTTGTTGTTTTCAGGCTCTCGGGGCTTTCCACGGGCCCTGGGACTGTCAGAAAACGATTCATTATGAAGAATTGCTCCTGAGGGAATGTCCAAAGGTCCAGGACCCATTTCAGTTGTTTCTTCACTGCATGACAGCCTGTTCTCACTCGTTCAAGGCCGAGGTTGCTGCGTTTGCTGGCGTAGCAGGTGGACCTGATAGCCAAAAGTAAAGTTTGGAGGAAACGGGTCGTCGTTCTTAACGTCGTCGGTTCCGTCGAAGGCGAGGTGCCTCAAGTCTGAGCAGCAGCCATGAGGGCGCTTTGCTTGCGTACGTCCCCGGTCCAGAGATATCCTTCCAAAGTGGGCACGCTCAGTCCGAGAGGGTTGGCACACATTGTTTCCATAGCGTTCAGAACACTATTGGTGAGTATTGATGTCTTCAAAGGTGACTGGCAAACCTTTGGTTATCAACCGAATTCTCGCCAGAGCCCGACTTCGCCATGGAGGCGGTGTCACGCGTGTGCGATGAGGATCCTAAAGCGGATCGCCTCTATCAGCGACGCGGGCGTTGTCGGTGAGGACATCAGGATGGTGGTGCGCGACAAAGGCTTCAACTCGGATGCACTCCCAGGCGTGCGACAAGGGCTTCAGCGCAGGCGCGCTTTCCACGCGCGCCTAACAGGGGCCAGGTGGCCTACGCCCCTGGGCCGTGGACAATCAATGTTTGGGGGGTACTCGGTGCAATCCTCCGAGGGGCCGACTCGGTCAAGAAAGCGGAGGGAGTTGTTTCTTCCTTGCATGACAGCCTGTTCTCCTTCGTTCACGGCCGAGGCTGCTGCGTGCGCCAGCGCAGCCCGCGGGCCTGCTTGTCGTCGGCTCGGCCGATGGCGAGGCGCCTCAGGTCTGAGCAGCAGCCATCAGGGTGCCTTGCTGGCGCGCGTCACCGGACCTGAGATGCCCTTACAAAGTGGGCATGTTCAGTCCGAGCGGGTCGCCGCAGATTCTTTCCATCTTTTTCCGAACGTTACCGGCGAATCTTGATGTCTTCAAAGGATCAGGAGGAAAAGAAACACACAGACACTATTAATCCTCGATTCCCCAGAAAGCATTGGAAAATATGGGAAGTGGGCGGGAAGACAGAAGCCCAGAAAATATGGAACATATGGGGATTTGTTTTATTTGTGTGCATCTATTTGTGTGTCCTGGGGCCCCTTCAAGGGATACTGGCGAACCTTTGCTTCCCCCGGACCCGTTTCCCCCCTGCCAGACTCGGGCCGGGCGAAAGGGGGGGATTGGGAAAGGAGGGGTTACGAAATTTGCTGCATGCAGCTGGTTTCGGGCTCACCGAGGGGCCCATTCCTCGATACATGAGCGCCTCCCGGCGCCGGCGCCAGGGAGGCGAGGAAAATCAGCTACGTGAGCTGATTCTCAAACCCCCCCTTTGCTATCCCCCCCTTTCGCCCGACCCGAATACCCCCCGCGCAGCACGGCGTAAAACGACGCGAAGATCGGGACAAAATCGGATCGGGATAACTCGAAATCTCTGAGAGTCGGCGGGTCTGGAGGATGCATTGGGCGCCGCGGCCGGTCCAGAGCGTTCCGGAACGCTCTGAGAGCGCTCCAGAACGCTCTGGAGCGATTTATCCCGATCCTAGCACTGTTTTACGGCGCGCTGCGCACTTCCTTCCCCGAACATCTTCCCGAGGAGCGCCGATCCCTCGGGGGCCCCCTGCCCCCGCGACGCCCGGCGGGAGACAGGCGCGCGGCGGGGGGCGAGCAGTGGGCCGCCCCCTCGAGGCGGCTCGCGCACGCGCCCGGGCCGGGCGAGAACGGAGCGATTGGGAGAGGGCGCGCTGGCGCCTCAGCGCCGGAGAAACCCGTTGCGCGAGCTGATTGGCTGGACCTCCCTGGCCCCCCCCATCTTCGTCCGCCCCGAGGGCCCCTGCCGCGCCCGCGACGTGGAGGGGCCGAGGTAACTGCCTGCTCACCCCCCCCCTCCTCGCCTGCCCCCCCCACGTCGTGCGCAGCTGCTCGGGGGCAGCGGGCCCTTCGTCGTGACTCGGGTCGTCCTGCGCCCGCTTCGCCGGCGCTGGCCCCGCGGCGACCTGGCGCAGCAAAAAACAGCGGAGGACTGGCATGACGCGCGGCATTAGCCCTCTCTCCGGGGGGCGCGTCGTTTCCGGGCCACGCTTGCCAGACCCACTGTCGTCTCGCAGGGGCTGCGCGGAGCTGTTCGTCGTTGACAATCACGCCCAGGCCAGAGCGCAAGTGCTTCAGCACGAGCGGGGGAGGCGACGGCGACCAAGATGACCCAGGCGGCCAGAACCCAAATTTCGCCCCCGCTCACTGCCGCCACGACGGCGCGGCCTCCGGCGCGGGGAACGGGGGAACCATTGAGGAGCCGACCGGCAGCGTGGACACCGAGCGCATCGCCACGCCGAAGAAGCACGGCTGGCTTCCCAGGCAGCCCTGCCAGCGGACCACGGCAGGCGAGCGCCAGGCTGCGGAAGCTGATAGGCGGCCGTCGCCGCCCTCACGGCCTGCGCGCCCGCCGCCGCAAGCGCCAGTATTTTGCACGACGTAGGTTGCACAACATATCCATAACCAATAGACTCTACCCCCCCCCGGATTTATCGGTACCCCCTGGGATAGTACGATTTTCATATATATATATATATATATATATATATATATATATATGTGTGTGTAAATGTATATATATATATACATATATATATAGAGAGAGAGAGAGAGAGAGAGATTCTGCACACTCGTCCATCCTAAATATGAAATCGTATCATCCCAGCCAAACCGGGCTCCCTCCCCTGAGGTTCCCTTGTAACATTTTTTGTTCTAACATAACACTTGTTCGCGAATGCCTTGCAAAAAATGGGACGAAGTGCACACGCGCGCGTCGTCGCGCGCGCGCATGCCGAAATCCTTCAAAAACCTTCGGTGCCTGAAGGATTTCGCAATCGAGTTTCAAACAAAAAAAAACATACAAAAACACACGGTTTCGCAACACTAATTTGCTAAAAAAGCTTCCGGAGCTCTTGCGAAATCTTAAGAAAACCATAGGTTTTTCAAGATTTTCACAAAATGCTACCAAACGGGCTTCGCGCGCGCGCATGTCGAAATCTGTCGAACGCCCTTGCGCGTGTGCCGTCGCGAAAATCCTCTGCAAAAAAAGAGACGAAGTGCAGACGCGCGCGTCGTCGCGGGCGTACGCCGAGAACCTTCAAAACCCATCGGTTTCGGAAGGATTTCAAAATCGCGCGTCCAAAAAACCTACAAAAACCCAAGGTTTCGCAACACGGATTTTCAACAAAAGCGTGCGCGCGCGCGTTCTTGCGTCGTCGTCGTCGTCGTCGTCGCCGTCCTCCTTCCTCCCGCGTCGTCGTCGTCGTCGTCGCCTACGTCGTCCTCTGTCTTTTCTCGTGTTCGTCGTCGTCGTCGTCCTCTTTGGCGTCGTGGTCGTTTCCGTCGTCGTTGTCGCCGTGGTCGTCCTTCCTCCTCCTCCCACGTCGTCGTCGTCGTCGTCGTCCGTCGTCGGCGTCTCGTCGTCGTCCCTCCTATTTCGTCGCCGTCGTCGTCGTCGTCGTCGCTCCTCCCTCGTCGTTGTCGTCGTCGGCGTCGCCGTCCTTCCTCCTTCGTTGTCGTTCGCGTCGTCGCCGTCTTACCTCCTCCCTCGTCGTTGTCGTCGTTGTCGTCGTTGTCGCCGTCGTCGTCCTTCCTCCTCCCTCGTCCTCGCCTTTGTTGGCGTCATCGTCGGCGTCGGCGTCGGCGTCGTTGTCGTCGTCGAAGTCGTCGGAGACGTCGTCGGTGTCGTCCTAGTCGTTGTCGTCGGTGTCGTCGCAGTCGGTCTTAACAGGTTTTGCCAACCAAGTTGCGGGTGGGTGGGTGGGATGTTTGCGCGAGCAGTGGAGATGACGACGTCAAGTTCAGCAGAGTGGATCGCACCACGTAGACAGCACCGCGTAGATTGCACCGGGCCGATTGCGCTCCACATAGATGGCCCTACATAGATCACATCGCACACATTGCGCGTCGCATGCATTGAGCCGCGTAGAGTTTACAACATAGACTGCGCAACATAAATTGCGCGACATGAGCTCTTCTTGCAAGAAACCTATGAGAATGGGCCCCCCCTGGACTTAACCGCCCCCCTTTTCGCGTTGCAATTTACATATGATTCCGCCCCGTCGTCCATCCGAAATCTGAATTCGCACCATCGCGACCCGACTGGCATCGACTTCCCCGCCACCACCGACAAAACACATGATGCGCGCACTCTCGTTCATCAGAAATCATCAGTTTTTAAGCGAGCGCCACGAAAACAAATGCAACACAAAAACATATTGTTTTGCAACGAGAATTTGCA